CATTTTTAATCCCTCAACTTCTAATATATACATATTTTTTGTCCATCCACCTTAAACTAAAGGACTAAAAATATGTATATTTAGACAAATTTAACGAAGTAATCCATAGAAAAACTGAAAAGAATATGAAAAATTAACTAAAAAAGTACATAAAAAAGTTGAAGGATGAAATTATGTAAAACATTAAAGTTGGGGATCAAAAATGAAATTTACCCTTTTTAAATTTAAATTGAGTTGTACCAAATAACTTTTGTGTACCGGCTGGTACGTCAAAATACTGACCAGTACGTCGAAATTTAACCGATACGAAATTAGCCCATGTACCGTTTTGGTTTAATACAAAAACTGGTACAGTCGGTACAATACCGTGTCAATAACTTGGCTTCCACCAACCAAACTTGTCTTTTAACTTTTAAGCAGCATCATTGGAGGGGAGAGTACTCTGTATGTTTGAAGGCATCAGGATATTAAAACCATCTGCTGCGGTGGATACAACCATCCCTGGAATCTCAGTATGCCAGTGAAGTTCTTTCAAGTCTTTCTGTCCCTGTTTACAGGTAAAACAAGGTTTCAAATTTTGAATAGACTATATTTAATTACTGAAGCTTCATTCTTTGAGAAGAATATTCTGTTTTAAATTAAAACAGAATATACCTGATGAACAAAGAGAAGTTGAGGTGGTAAATCTTCTGGAGCATTCACTAGCTCTTTTGTTTGAGCTTTGAACTCTGCCTCCTCTTCCTCATCCTTTTCTAAGGAGAGGTCCCATATCCTGGAAACAGAAGTAAATGGGAGAAATTTAATTTAAACTCATTGTCATTGAATAGAAGGAGAGAGAACAATGTGTGGGGGGTGTGTGAGAGATGAAGAGAGCTTAAAATTCCAGCATTTTTATTCAGCAAGTTTTTTGTTGCTTTTCTTGGATTCTGATGTTTGAGTGTTCTATATATACTCACGTTAGCTGATTATCAGATGATGAAACTGCCAAAGTGGAGGCTTCCTGTGGACTCCACTGGATAGATGTAACAGGGTACTTATGGTACTTGAAATGAGCTACAACAGTGTCTCCTTCCTGCCAATAGAAAAACTTAAGGTCAGTATCAACAAGAAAGGCAACAATCAATTTACCATCATAGAGGTGATACAAAATGAAAGATATCCAAGTAGAAAGAATTGGTCATAATAATCAAACATTGTTATAGATGCAATGCATAAAAGGGGAATGGAATTTGGATCTAGTTCTTAACAGATTAACAGATTGGAGGGGACTATTATAGGTTTAAAATGTACCTTTAGCAACCTAAAATCATGGATAGAAAATGTTCCATCATCACTCCCAGATGCCAACATACAACTAGCCTGCCTGATAAAATTCATGCAATTTGAAGTCAGATGGTTTTATACACAAAGGCACCAATATTGTTGAAAGGGTAATTGAACTCATTAAGATCAAAATACCTGTTCCATGAGATAACATTTACATCTGCCTCATGTGCCTTGAAAGACACTGCTGGTGACTTCCCTAAACGGGTATCCCAAATTGCAATAGTCCCATCCACCGAACAGGAGACAAATGCATGAGGTTCTGTTGGACTCCACTGTATGAATAGAATTTGGACCAAACAACATGGTTACTAGACTGAGAAACCAAAGGCAAGATATAAGTTTAACAACTTTTCACTCTCCAAACAAATTCAACCATTATTTTACGTAGTTCATACTTGTATATCTTCCACACTTGCAGAATGGCCTATATATGGAGTGGCATCAACATTCCACGTAGAACCAGATGTTGGTTCCCATAGATGAATACAATTCTTACAATCCCCTTCAAAAAAAAAAAAAAACATCAGCAAGAGCTATAGATCTCATTAATCTGCAAAGAAACTAAAGATTCTTGATAAGTAGCAGAGAATTTGTGAGAATAACTACTCCGAAGTACCGGTTGCAAGCTTTCCAGGAACAAGAGGGCTCCAATCTATTGCATAGCCTTCATCTTTGTGGCCATGGAAATTAACTAAGGGAGCTTGATTAAAAACAGAAGATGCTCCCTGGACACCTTCTGTTTCTGACTCTGCCAAAGCATTCAGATGAGAACATAAGTCCCACACCTGCAATGAAAAGAATGAAACTAACAGATCAAAACATAGTTTAACTTGAGCAATAGAATCTAAATGGTCAAAACTAACTGTGACTTGCAGGAACCATCTTTGCGGATTATCAAGTTTATTTTCATAAGTTCGAAGCATAGCTCATAACCAAAATCAGTACCTACAATTTAATTCAAGTCTCACCTGAACGTGACCACTATCAGCCCATGATGCACATATATGGGGTTGCTGTGCCATGGCACGTATACGATTAACACAGCCATGATGTGCTACCTTCCGCAACTACTCATACAAACAAGTGAAGAATATAAGCATAACAAAGAGCAGTCATCAAATGAATATAATGTTGAATAGAAACAAGAAATTGCCTGCAAAACTGGAGTGCCAGATCCACCATCTTCCTCATCTTCACTATCATCACTATCACTCTCCACATCAGAGTCATCCTCAGATTTGGTAGGAACTAGTTCACGTCTCTTCCCAGAAATGTTACTTATTTTAAATACTCCAATAGAATTCCAAGCAGCCTTCTCTGCCTGCAGAAGTAGAAACAGGAAAAAGCACATTGGTAACAAACAATAAAGTTACAAAATGAAAGTCAATGGTACATAGTTGACGACCAACATGCATTACAGTGTAACATGTTCAGCCAGTGAGTATTATATAACACTTGTACAGTAATAACATTACACTTGTACAGAAATGGAGCTCACCTGAGTCCCAGCAACCAAATACACTGTGTGCGGGAAATCCTTCCTGTCTGAACCCAATGAATCACGCACTATATCAAAGCTGCCAAAAGCAATCAAATTCAATAATAACCAAAATATGAACTTTCAATGCACTTTTACATTCAATTAATGTTCCATAATTTCTGGGGTCTTTACATAATCAAATCCCAAGATTCAAAATTTCAAATTTACCACTTTTTCAACTACCATACACAAAAAATGCAATCAGAGTACCTCAAACAGGGCCAGCCAATGTGAAAAGCATGAAGAGAATTGTAAGCAGAGGGGTCGCACTGAAGCTCTTCTCCTTCCTCCAACTTATCAACCCCTGGTTGCCAAATCCTTGTGGGCATGGACGGCACAGAGGAAGATGATGATGACCCATCTCCCTTCTTCGAGCCCTGACCACAACAACAATAATCTTAGGAGTCCTCATTCAGCCGATTGAGAGACAGAATATCAGGAAGAAAACTTGAACCTTGTTCTTTCTCTTGGCCCTTTTAGGGTTTTTGATTGTCCGACCCATTCCCAAATGGCAATGGAGAAGTTGATGCAATTAACAGAAGAAAAAAGGGGTTTTGGTGGGAGGGGGCTGGGGTTTTGCACTCTATTCGCTACACTTCTTCACCTGCTGATTTTTTTTTTTTTTTAGATTATTTACCAAGTTCATCCTTATCTTTTGTAGGAGTAATAATTATTTGCACAAGCTTTCAAAATTATCCAATGGGCCCAAAAACGTTTCTTCGTTTTACTTTCCTTTTTGATAATCTTTTTTTGGCTTTGAGGGTGTCTAGTAAAGTTTAAAAAATATTTGTTTTAAAAATCCTATTCTCTTTTACAAATTTAAAATTTTGTCTCCGTTCCTTCTATTTTTGTATGCAAAATCCATCATTGTCTCCTAAACAAGTTTCAATTTATCAATGAATGATGTAGTGAAAGCCTTGTCTTGCTAGTTTCATACCAGGTTTACCGATCACCATGACTGTGATTGAGGAACAAATATTAGGTCTTGTCCTATAAAATGTGTGCAGCTTGGTAGGTGAGTTAAGAAGTGGAACTGGATGGAAAAATGTATGTGGTTGTGGTTGGACTTGGAGGAAACACAACTTAATGGCAAAACATATGTTAAGTTTCTGAACTAACTTTAGATTTGTTATTAAACCCTCAAATTTTAATTGATGCATATAAGCTCCCAAACTCCATAATATGAGCAATTTAACCCTTAATTCTTTAACTGCAGTAAAAATAAGAATTAAATTTTCATAAGAATAAGGGTTAAATTGCTCAAATCCTAGAGTTTTGAGCCTTATATGCATCAATTAAAGTTTAGGAGCTCAATAGTAAATCCAAGGTTAGTTCAAGGGCTTAACATATGATTTTGCCTAGCTTAATTGGGACCCTCAGTCTTTTTATTAGTAATTTCCTAGAACTGCTCTGAATCCAAATCTCTGCATCTGTCTTGCTTGTATGGTTATATGGTTGTATGGTTCTTTGGTCCAGACTTGAAAGTAAATGCTTTATTATTTAAGTTGGTGGTGGGAATGGATCTCCAGAGCCAAGACCAAAATTTTCATGAAATGCATAGACAGTGAATCAAATGTGAGTTTATAATCTCCAATATAACAAGCACCAAAATGCGAAAAACCGTTGTACATCTTTCTGCAAATACATCCTTGGTAAGTTGCCCTTAGTTGAAAATTTGGGCAGTGAATCCGATGAGTTATAATCTCCGATCATGAATCAAATTCTAGGGATGGATTCTGAACGGATGAACTGTTTGAGAATAGCCTTCTCTTCATCAATTCTTTTCTTTTCTTCACGATTCTTAGGTTTGACCTTTCTTTTCTCTTCTAGTAACCATTTGAAAAGCTCACGTTGCTGATATTCTAGGATGGGCTGTGGCTCTTTCACTGGCTTCGGAACTGGGGGAGGTGGTGGAGGGAGTGGTGTTTCCTCAGGGATTGGGGGAATTGTAGCAGGAACAGGAGAAACATGAACTACCTCAGGAACATCAGGTCTAGGCGAAACATTACCTACATCAGGAACAGCAGGAACAGGAGAAACATTGACTGCCTCAGGAACAGCAGAAACGGGAGAAACATCATCCGCTACTTTGGCACTTTCTGACCCTGTTTTTGCACCTTTAATTTCTTCAGTGCTTGAATTCTTCTTTCTTGCCTTTGCAAATATGTAAGCTGCAGAAAACAGAAGGAACATCAGCTAATGCCTGCCTTAATATTCTGCTAGATATGCAATTTCATAGCGTAGTATGTAAAACCCTAGGGTTGGGTTTGGATGAATGATTCCAAATGAGGGATTTCAATGATGAATATATGAAGAAAGGAATTTTAAATTCCTTTTCTAAAAGACCTTTCATGCCAAAATTGTTTAGGTTTCAATACAAAAGGTTGCCATTTTAAAATATCACTTAAAAGTACTAACTTCTAGTTAGTCTACAACTTTTGACCATGAGGAATGATAACCATCAAGAATATCTTGAATAGCCTTCTACTCTTAGATCAAATGAAACAGCATTTCTTAGAGACAAAATCTGCAACTATAAGCATAATAGCCAGAGATGTAACTTAAAGCCAATGTGCCTAAACAAAAAGATCGACCCAGTAAAACTACCCCTGAAACCTCCCATTGAAAAGAAACAAACTATGGTCATATTAAACAAAGTTAAGGGCCAAAATTATCAAGAATGTAAAAACTGAAACATACTTAGTAAGCATCATGTAACAGCACAAGAAAACAGTACCCACACATCACAGCATTGACCTTATGATGAAAAATTCATGAATATATTTCAGTAGAAACCAAACAAGAAAGAACTCCCATGTGAAACAGGAGTTAAGCCTAACATTCAGCCAATGCTTCTTTGGGCGCAATAATAATGACTAAAAGAGCCGTATTTAAGATTCTAAACTTTGATTATAAATCCTTCCTTATATAACAGTTTGGTCATCCCATTATGTACTATCAACAAAGTCCCAACTCATTACCAGCATTGTCGAGAAGGCAAAAAAGCATTCCATGAAGCAACACAAAGCTTCAAAAAAGAATATCAATTCCAAATCCCAGTAGATTCATTGCTGCTGGCAAACTAGCTTAACAAATGAATCCACAGCTACTCTTCCTTTCATTCTCATTCTTTCTATAAGGAAACAAGAGCAAAACCCCCCATTTCCATCATAATCATAACTTAAGGATTATGGAGAAAAGAAAAACCAAAATTACAACTCAGCTAGACAATACATCGAACACTTAACAGACACAGCTAAAAACATAAAGAGAAGAGAGAAAACATGATTAAAAAAAAAAAAAAAAGCAACAACAACAACAACTGGGTTTCAGTAGAATACCTCCAAGAGCCAAATTAGAGATCAAGAGAATCCGCCAAATGGGTTTGAAGCGTCTATCCTTGGAAGACAAAGATGCGGTTTGATATTCAGGAGGAGGAGGTTCCATTCCAATCGACGGGGGAAGAAACTCGGGTTCTTTTCTCCACCGGAGTGCTTTAGAAGTTGTGGGTTTAATACATTTCGATGCTTGATGGTCACTTCAACTCTGTATCTTGATTCTTGATTCACACTGCACTAATACTACTAAGAAAGCGTTAATTAACTGATTAATGCACAACAAGTAAGAGGAAAGTTAGGTTTGTTAATTCAGATTAGTAGACAAAGCTGTTTTATTTCTCTGTTTTGGATTAAAAAGAAGGAAGGGTTTTTCATTTTCTCTCTTTGGGTTCATAGGTTTGGGCTTATTGGATCATGTCCACTACGTTTTAGTGAATTCTTTGAGGCCCATCAAATCTCATTATCTTTTCATTTTCATCTTTTCTACTCTTTTCCCTTATTATTATTTTTTAAAAATTTTCTATAGGGGTAAATTTTTTTAGTAGTAGCTAATAACTTTGAGTACTCCATATTTTTTTTAGCAAATACTTTTTTCCTCTCTTAGATATATTAAAAGTATGAATGTCTAATGTAATTTAAGCTGTATCAAATTATACAAAATTAATCATTGATAGGAGATAAATCGTAAATATAGCATCGTGCATTTACCATCAATGGATGGACTAAAAAAAAAAAAATTTTGTATTAAGAATTGTTTCACTTTAAAATTTAAAAACTAAAGTGGCATTCTACATGTTGCGTTCTTTAAGGTTATGTGATTAGGGTTGTGCACCTTGGTGCCACCTTGTATTGATTGTGTCCCTTTTAATTTTCAAAAATGCCCACGCAATTTTTTAAAACCCAAGCTTGATTAGTTGTACTTAGTTGTGATACTTATTTAGTACTAACAAGTCACAACGCACTCCTTTATTCATGTATAATCTAAAGTATCACGTATAATTGTCACGATACCAACTAGGTAACTAGCACTAATAATTTGAAATTAAATTTTTGAAAATTATGTGGATTTCAATTTTAAGAGTTGTTGAGGTAATAAAGGTTTTAACTTGATCGTTTTATTTAGCAATTAGGGGTTTTATCCCTCATAGGCACTGATCATCATGAACAACGGTAGCAAGAAATATCATTTAGTGTGTATCCTGTAATTGTATCAACAAGAGTTTGACCAAAAGATCCATTTGACACCTCAAATCTTACATCGGGGTTGAAGGTATGCGGTTGAAGACGTAATATACAAGTGTTACAATAAACTACTATTAATGTCTTTTTTTAATCTATCGAAATAAATAAAAAAAAATTATTGGTACACTTCTTAGTTTAAGACACCTCACAATACTTATCAATTTAACCAATAAATTCTATAACTTATAGTTTTCTTGTCTTTGATTTAAATTTAAAAAAAAA